AAAAATCACGACAATTCGCAAATTATTTTAAGCTAGAATTATTCAAAGAAGTTTCTATTTAAATCTAAGTTTTGAAAATATAATACAAGATTCCTTATAAGTCTGTCTACCTTAATCAAAAAAATAATGCCAAATTTAATTTGTATGAGCTTTTGAGAATTAATTTTTTACAACATTGGATATCACTAAATTTCTCATTTTGCAATTTTCTTATTTTGTGTGATTCTAAAACAAATGACCGCAGATACTTTTAATTTTCACTGAATGTTTATACATATAAGAATTTGCTATACTTGACAGATATTTTTCCACACTCAGAATCGTTTTTCGTATACAATGATATAATATCATTGGATTMAAATTTAATTCCATCTATTACAGTAACTCACTTGTAACCTACTGTACAGCAGAGCGACATCCACTTTCCCGCTTTTTTTAAATTGTCTGTATTTAATATTGATCTACCAATCAAAGGTAAGTATAAAAGGGTAAACTAAAATGTCCTAAATACTTTACGGAGATCTGAGTATATATAATTAGAAGTAGAATTCTATTTCCTGATCCAAGGCAGCGTAATTGAAATATTATTTTATGTTCCCGTAAGGTCTGTAAAAATGTAAACAAAGAGAGACAGTTGTTTTAGACACATACATTTTTTTACAACACCCGTAGTTTCAAATTTAAAATCATTAAATATTAAAATAGTTATTAAATATATATGTATAATACAACTAATAGTTGGTAACAATAATAGGCTAAAATGTATATAGGTATACAATAAAAACTCTTAGTTAAAACTGTTAATTAATATTTTTATCATATCATAATATTTGAACTCATACAAGCCAATTGATTGTAATACTATACATAACGTGTAATATTATGAGTGTATGATACGCTCGTATGTTTACTTTTTTACCTACTGTATTATTTAATATAATATACTATGCCTAATTCACGCGGGGTCGAAATCAAACGGATTTCGATTTTGTTATTTATTTATTTTTTTAATAATAATAAAAAAACATCGGACGAGAACCAACGCGGGCGCGTTATAATTACACCCCACGATGGTTTATCGCATGCTAAACATATAATAATAATAATGATAATATTCGCCGCCGCCAGTTGTACTTATACCTATTATACTACCGCTCCATCACTGTTGCAGCAGCAAGCAACCTAATTATAATTCCGATACCATTCGTCTGGATTCATATTATGGGCCATATATTATGTATAATGTACATTTAACGATGCGATTAATGTATAATATT